TACTCAAAATACGGAAAATGAACATTTAAAAAAATTAAAAAATATAAATATAAAATTCTAACAAAAAATATTTGAATTTTAAAAAATAAAATCTGAAATTTTAAAAAAATTCTGAAAAAAAAATTATTAAAACTTTTAGAAAAATAAAAATAGTTCAAGTTCTTAATGATTGTTTAGATAAAAATTCTTAAAAACAATAGTTTAATTAACACAAATAAAAATATTGCCAGTTCACATAATTAATTTTTATTTCTTATATTTTGAAATCATTTTATTATTTATTTTTCTTTTTCTTTTGTAGAAAGAAAAAATATTGTAAGATTCACCAACTTAAAAATGTGCATATTACTTGATAATATATTAACATAAAATTACTCTATTTTTAAGGGAAAATTGCGATTGCGGTCCCAAACCTTTCATTTTATTGCAAATTACATCCAAGCCTTTAATTTTTGCGATTGAAGTCCCAAACCTTTCATGTAATTGCAGCGTCAGTCCCAAACCTTTAATTTTTGCAACAGAAGTCCCAAATATTTGTATGTAATTGAAGCGTCAGTCTCAAACCTTTGTATGTAATTGTAGCATCGGTCCTAAATCTTGAATTACGTCCATAAAACCGTTAGTCAATGTTCAAATAGTATTTTTGACTCGAAAAATTTGCAGCTCCGGTCCCAAAACTTTTATTTTGTTACAGATTACACCAAACCTTTCATTTTTACGGCCAAAGTCCCAAACCTTTATATGTAATTGCAGCGTTGGTCCATTTCACGCATTCTGTCCATAAAATCGTCAGTTAAAGTTGAAACAATATTTTTGACTCAAATGACAACTTAGCCTCTGTTTGACACTCATTTTATTTGAAAAATAATTTTTGAAATAGTGATTGATGGGAAGATTGTGTTATTAAAAAGTAAGGAGAATTTTTTGATTTATGTGTAATATTATTTTATTACTAGAATGTGTTGTTGAAATGAAGAAAGAGAAATAGAATGAGAAATATATTGAGAAAAAAATGGGTGTCAAACATGGGCTTAATTGATGAGCAAAATTATTAAAACAAGTTATAAAAAAATGTTTATCTTCTTCAAATCCTTCAATTTTTTTACAGTCATCGCATTCTCATCATCGATAACTATCAAATCAAATAATAATTCGATCCGATTTGTTATAATAATCAAATCGATAAATTATTTTTATGACATATTATTTGGACGGAATGTGTGAAATGGTCCAACGCTGCAATTACATATAAAGGTATGGGACTTCGGCCGTAAAAATAAAAGGTTTGGGTGTAATTTGAAATAAAATAAAAGGTTTGGGATCGGTGCTGCAATTTTTTAGTGTCAAAATTACTGTTTAAACGTTGACTAACGGTTTTATGGACGGAATTCAAAATTTGGGACCGACGCTGCAATTACATACAAAGGTTTGGAACCGACTCTGCAATTACATACAAATGTTTTGGATTTCGGCTGCAAAAATTAAAGATTGGGGACCGACGCTGAAATTACATAAAAGATTTGGGACCGAAGATGGAATTACATATAAAGGTTTGGGACTTCGGCTGCAAAAATGAAAGGTTTGGGTATAATTTGCAACAAAATGAAAGGTTTAGGACCGCAGCCGCAATTTTCCCTATTTTTAATGAATAATTAAATTTCATGAAATTAAATATCATAAAACAATTTCTCAAAATTTCATATTACAAGTATGTCCTTAGTTTTCTATCTTGAGAAATAGTTTTTCAAAATGACAAACTAAAGCATTTTTAACAATCTTAAAATGGATCATCAAAACAGAAAATTGAAAATGAGCTGAAAACTGAAATTTGAAACACAAACCAAACAAACTCTTAAAATCTACTCCCTCTAAGAACTGTATATGTTTTTGGGTGATTTCAAGTACATATGTTAAAATATGTACAATTTTAAGATTAGATGGAAAAAATTGGTTATAATTAGACAAATTACATAATAGCATATTAATAAACGAACAAAATAAACACATTCTCAATAAAGAAATAGAATTAAAATTTAAAATAAAAGAAATAAGAAAAATTGGTTTATATAAATGGAACAGGGTGAGTAACAAATTGCAAACAAATCATTCACTACTACAACGTTGTCACGTACGTAAACACATATGCATAACCACCTAATTTGAGTTGATTTAATTATATTTTGAAAAATCACAACCCCACAAACACTTTAATCCCACTAAAAATTGTTTGACCTCTTCCTAGATTTTCCAAATCCAGAGTAGCGACCCTCTTCATGTCACTATAAACACGATTAAATAAAAACAATAATGTTTAAAACAGACGTCATTCAAGCGTTGAAAAATTGGGAAAATTTCAAGAATAATTTATATCCTTTTTTCATCTTTATCTCTTTATATAAATGCTGCATCTATTTCAACTAGCGGTTAACCATTCATAGACGCAACTTTAGTTAGAGCATATCCCGTGAAGTTTCTTCTCTCTACTGTTCTCTTTCCTTTTCTTCTGTCGTCTTCTACTTAAAATCCTTCTTCTTAGCTTATTTTTGTCGTAAGTAATTATTTTTAGCCATCTTCTTTTGCATGTATGTTACAGTTTAACAGAAACTTCTAAAGAAATGAGTAACACAATGAGGCCGAGGATGAAGATCACGTTTAACCTAGCTTATGACAGAGGTTGAAAAATCATTCTTTTGTCTGTGACTTTTAAATTTCTTTTTATCTTTTTTGTGTTCTTGTTTTGTTGTTCTTGTAAAAAGGACATGGATTTGGGTAAAGTAAAAGTTAAGAAAGGATTGATGATCAAGACATGGGAGAGGTGCAAAACCTTTAGTGGGATTGGAAGAAAAAATTGTTCTGGAATTCAACATGTTCTTAAGATGAAGAGCAAATCATGGCCTCGTGGCCTTATAGGCGGCGCCACCACCTCCGATGACCTCGAAAACCGAGGGAAAAAATGTCGAGTGGTGCCGGATGGTTGTTTTTCAATCTATGTGGGACCCCAAAAACAAAGGTTTGTAATCAAGACTGAATATGTTAATCATCCTCTCTTCAAAACCCTACTTGAAGAAGCTGAACTGGAATATGGATACAGTACTGAAGGCCCTCTTATGCTGCCATGTGATGTTGATACTTTTGTGAAAGTGTTGGTGGAGATAGAATATTCCGACGAGATTAACAGTCTGCAGGGATGCAACTTTGCTAGGAGTCACAGCTCTTACCACCTCCTGACGCCGCCGCGGGTGGCGATGAATAAATTTTAAAGTTTGCAGCGCAAGTTGTAAAGGCTCATTGTAAGATCTTAATCTCGTGTTTTCAGATTTATTATAAGCGTGTTTCTCACCGGAGATAAAAATTAAGGCAAATTGAGTATCGTGTTTATCGTTTTTGTCAAAATGAATATGGAATAAAATTTCTTGCTATGTTACATATGTAAAATAATATATAGAAGTTTTCTTTTAGTGTTTCTGTCTTACAATTCCAGTGTAATCGTGGTACTTCTTCTTATAATCTGGCTAAATAAGTTTAAATATAAATAAACAAATTTCTATTTTCTCAAATATATATTCTTTTACTGTGTCCTTGTAGATATGCAATATAAAAACCTCAATTATTGTGATTTGTTTAAAAAGAGAAATATAAGCTTTCAATTAAGTCGCGAATATAGACAAATTCAAGACTTCAAGTTTCTATACTATCTTGTTTAGAAAAATATTACACTTTTCGAGCTTCAATTGATCAAATACAAATTCGATTTACAAATATTAATAAATAAAACTTATCTCTAACGACCACTTTAACATTTTAACTGGGGTGATTCGAAATATATGTACTTGTGGAAATATAGGTGTTTTAAAATTAGTCATAACATTCAAGAAAATGGCAATTGCTAAGTGAAGAACAAGGCAAAAGTTAGATCCCATCTAGGGGAGGATCAGAAAGAAAGTTTAGTGAGGGTGAAACCAAAAAATTTTGGAAAAAAATCTGGACAAAAAACTAAAAAAGTCTGATCCCATCCACGTACTGGTCGTCAAGTAGGTCCGCCCCTGATCCCATCCACGTATTATTCTTTGTTTAATCCATAATAATTTGAATATTATAGTCCTTTGTATTTTTTTAATGCAATTAGTCCACACATAAATATGAGATACTAGAGTTTAATTATTTAAAACTTATAATTTGTCAGCTAGGTTCATATTTAAAAGTCCACCACATTGTCTTATTCTCTTATTGTCAAAATCCGCCTTCTCTCAAAGTCAGCTAAGTAATTTATTCGGCACATTGGGACATTATTAAATTACATTTATTTGTTAATTCATTATAGTCAATAAAATACGTTAGAAGATGATATATATTAGAGTAATGTTATACTACTCAAGAGTTGACTTTAATTCCATATTTTGATTTAGTTAAGAAAATTGATTAGAAATTAAATTAAATTCTACAATTAATTTTAACACAATATTTCACAATATTCACAACTTTTATTAATTTTTCAATCATATATTTTATCATTTTTTATTAAAATTTACTAAATCTCTGGTGCTTGTATAGCAGCGCTACTTTAGGCAAAAAAAAAAAATATATTTTTTGGTCCAATCATGTGGGATCACGAAGTTTGTTTAGCCTCTAATTGATAAGGATAAAAGTTATTGAAATGTATTGATGAAAAGTTATAAATTTCATAAAATGCGTGGTTAAAATTAAGGATCCATTTATATAATACATTACATAATTGACATGTGGCACGCATCCATCGGTAGTTTACAATTTTTGACTTTTTTACACTTCATATTCACGGCCAGATTTCTTCCGCATGAGCTATGTAATCCATTATATTCAATAATTATGTACATATAAATTTATTCTAAAATTAATTGTTTCTTTTACTTAAATTAAAATATGAATTTTAGTAAATAGTGAAAAAAAATGGTTAACTACGGTAACCTTTAAAGAATGTCAACAATAGTAGCCACACAATGCAAAGTCTCTTTTGCCCTTCTTCAATAGCTCCTGTCTGCGAGTACAGAGGAGCAAAAAAGTAATTACGCATAAATAATTAATTGACATTTTGTCAAAAAACATTTTGTATCCTACAACTACAACCCCTCAAACTTTCATATTCGAGGTTCAATTTTTTTAATTGAAAAAATCTAGTGAAATCTATCGAAATGTCATAGTTTTTTCAAAGAAGCTTCGTCATACACAATGTTTTAAAAAGTGTAAAACGTGACGAAACATAGAGTACAAGTTTCGGCCTAGACAAGCTTAGGCGAAGCCTAGACTTTAAAAAGAGTAAATAAGCTTTTTTTAAAATTTTAATATCATTTAAAAAATTTAAATCAATCTAAAAATTATTTAATAATTAAAAGAAAAAAAGCGTTGAAAGGAGTTAAGAAACATAAAAGCGCAAAAATAAAAAAGTGGGCGCTAGGCACGTCTAGGAGTGAAAAAATATTTTAAAAAATGAAAAAATGCGCAAGGAGACATTTTGCTCAAACTTCGAGTTTAGACGTCGCTTTTTAGAACATTACCGACCGACCTAATTTTTAGCAAAATCAAACCGAGACTAAGACTACAACCTAATTTATTGGAGTTCAATTGTTGAAACGCATATCGAGGTGCCAATCTTCGTGTTCATATGAGATTATGACCCTCACACCTACCCTTGTTCGAATAAGCTGTTTTAAAGAATTGATAGTAAATAGTTATATTTGATTTTTAATAACCTATAGTTAATAAATTATTGGCGTCAACTCAAGAAAGACTATGTGACAAGTATGACCAATAGCAAGCTGATGCCTAAATCTTGTCCCTAGATTCGAAAATTAATTGCTGAAAAAATGACAGCTTGTCGAGACTCCTTTAATCATTTTCTTAATTATCGAGACATAGAGGGAACGAGCAATTTATTTATGAAAATATAGAAAAGGGTAATTATATTTCCACTGTAAATTTTATTTCTTGCACTACATTTTAATTGTACTTGAAGTTTTCAATCTTTGATCATTACAGCATTTATGTCTCTAATGAATTTTCATGAATTTCTTATCTTTAAACTTTTCATTAATTAACAAATTTTGTATTTGATAACAGTTTTATGTTCAAAAGTCCTTTAAAATGACGTAAAATAATTTATTTTTCTTTTATATTTTTTAAAAAGAAATAAATAAAAAGTGTTAAAAAAATATTTTTCCCTCATTTCAAATCATGAAAATAAAATATTTTGATATAAATCATATCAAAGATGAGATGTACTAGTTAAGTTAATGGGATGTTGAAGATAAGAAATCAACGAAAAAAGTTAAGAAAATAATTACAACAATGAACAAAGATTGGGAGGTTTAATTGCAGTTAAAATGTGGTATATCAAATAAAATTATGGTGGTAATATAATCACCTTATAAAAAATACATCATGTATATAAGGGGTATGTACAATTTGTATACGATGTTTTATAAGTTTACGTTTTACATACTAATAATAAAGAACACCATTTGTTGGAGGATAATTAGCACAAAATGTTTTTATCGTTTGCCTTCATTTTGTAAATTATTCCTATCATTTTACTTTTAACATTTAGACCTTTAGATCGACTATTCTTTTGCTCAAATTGCCCCTACCATTTCATTTCATCAATTTGCTTGTCAAATGATTGCGTTCAATCCAATTGTGCGATTTGTCCGATGACATTTTGGTCAAGATACTAATTAACCATTTTTCTCACATAATTTTAACCAGTCTGAAATGGTAATGTGTGTGTGTGTACACGCATGTCCGGATTTTTTTTATATGTATAAAAAAATCCTTTATCTTTATTGTCAAGATCATCCATGTCAAATCACTAAGAGAAGAAAAAGTGCAGAACAAAGATTGATTGTAAGTTCTGGATTTTGGTTTCTTGGTCTTGATTCTTTATTGCGGATTCTAGACCTTCCTCTTTAATACGTTTCCTCTTGTATTTTTGTGTTGATGTGATGACCCATACAGTGAGAATATTACGTTTGAATTGGGAACCATAATCCTATAAGATTTTTCCATATGTATTTCAACTCATCATGAGATACAACCAAAAAAAGGAATGTGATCTCTACATATATTTAGTCAATTACCATATTAGATATCCAAAGCCCAATAACTTTATTTCTTTATTCGATCACTTTAAATAAACTTAACCTTAAAATAACATTTAATTACAAATTAAAACCAAACAGCACAGAAAATTCCAATAAGAAATCAAATTATACAAACTAAAATATATCTAATTAAAGAAGAGACCTCTAATGTTCTGTTGTGTTCAATTTAACCAACTAATCCCCCGTTAGATTTAAATAAAATCAATTTTTTTATAGCATAGATCGAATAAAATTGAATTCTGATAAAATATTTAGCATATCTATTTTCTATAATGTCCAGTGCGATATGAATCTTACAACCATCATATTTAGGATTGAACTGCTTTGGCGGTTGACTTTAAATTAAAAAGAAGACCTAATTTGTTGCAACTTAATCCTTAAATAACTTTTATCCATTGAGTGACGACTCTGTTGCTCGACATCACTGCATCAATAGGTGAATATTAAGATCAAGCTCTTGTTTTTTTACCCTTGCACTCAAAATTGTTAAGTTGATAGTAATGTTAAGGCCGTAAAATTGTTTAGGTCAAGTGTTTGATAAGAATTTTTTAAATATCAAGAGTCTAATTCGTAATTTGATTTTTATTTTTTTTCGAGATCTTTGAATTCGAAACAAGAGCAAGCATCTTGTTTGAGGGTTTTCTAAAATATTGTGAATCCTTACATCTAGGAATTAATCCCCACTATAAAGAGATCTCATTTTATAATACCTCAGGAGCTAATGAAACCATTTTAGTAAAATTTAACTGTCGTGAAAACGCTTCTTTTTTCCATATTTTGGAGCTCCAAAATTTAATAGTTGGTTCATTCTCAATTTCAACAAAGTAAAAAGATTATTTCGTCGTTAATAGTTATTTACTTAATCAGTGGACAAGAATGTTGAGTTAATTCGTAATAGTAATTAGTACGATTTTATATTCAATAATGTTTTGGATATAAATTAGTGGCGTCACCTCAGAAGAAAATGTAATATGTAACACCAATTGCAATTAGTATTGGTTGAGGCCTAAATCTTGCCGTAGATTTGCAAATTACTATTTAGACCCACTAAATTGACAGTTTGCGAGATTCCTAAAAACATATAAACATTCCCCCTATGTGACATAATCTGGGCAATGATGTGAAAG